TAATATGTTACCTGGCTCCCCCTCCCAAGGTTATGTATGGCCCCTTTCATTTGTTTTACCCACATTCTTTGTACAGTATTTTCTATACCTTCCTGAGTATAGAAATTGAATTATATTTATAATTTTCAGTTGACAACAATTTCAAAATGTATGCTATGATGACAGTTGATAGTAATTACCTTTTGAAGAGTGTATTGCCTTGGAAACCATTACTATTCTAATGACATCAGTATTCAGATAATGTTTATTCATTGATACAAAAAGCAATTGCAAATGAGATTTTTATTTTGTATTTTCCTTCTTTTAAGGAAGAAATGTCTTCTGTAAAAAGAAGTCCAAAACAAGAAATAATTTCCCAATTTCACTGTTCAGCTGCAGAAGGAGATATTGCCAAGTTAACAGGAATACTTAGTCATTCTCCATCTCTTCTTAATGAAACTTCTGACAATGGCTGGACTGCTTTAATGTATGCTGCAAGGAATGGGCACCCAGATGTTGTCCGATTTCTGCTTGAGAAAGGGTAAACATTTTAGGCTCTACCACCTGAAAGCATCTGTGGTTTAATTTCTGTGTTACATATTTCCTTTTAAATGTTTCTTGTAGCCATATTTCTATCATTGGGCTACTAAATAATTCGTTGACTAAGTTATCATATAAAAATGTAACATAATTTCTAACTAAAATATTTTAACCATTTTTATTGAAGAATTAATCCTTCATATATTATAGCAAAGCAAATTTATGAGTAGTCTAATCTTTTTCTCCCAAATAGAAAATGTAAATCTCACTATGACTACCAAGGACTCCTTCTAGAATTTTGATATCTCCTTAATACTTTTTTGTTTTATAAGGAATTATCCAGAAATTTTAAATATCTCCTATCTCTAACTTTTTATCATTTATGATTATTAAATTGCCCTTTTAACATCCCCTGTAGTAATCTATGGACTAATTGGAAAAAAATCTATGTAATCATTAAATAGAGGGGCTATAATATGTATCTGGAAATATTTTATTGAAATAAATACAAGAGAAAATGTTAACTTCCTATTTTACTTTTTCTTCCCAATTTTCTCTTCCTTCCATAGGTGTGACAGATCACTTGTCAATAAATCAAGGCAGACTGCACTGGATATTGCTGTATTTTGGGGTTATAAGAATATAGCTGATTTACTGGCTAGTGCTAAAGGTGGGAAGAAGCCATGGTTCCTAACCAATGGAGTAGAAGAATGTGAAAATTATTTTAGCAAAACTCTACTGGACCGCAAAAGTGAAAAGAGAAATAATTCTGACTGGTTACTAGCTAAAGAAAGCCATCCAGCCACAGTTTATATCCTTTTTTCAGATTTAAATCCCTTGGTCACTCTAGGTGGCAATAAAGAAAGTTTCCAACAGCCCGAAGTCAGGCTTTGTCAGCTGAACTACACAGATGTAAAGGATTATTTGGCTCAGCCTGAGAAGATCACCTTGATTTTCCTTGGAGTAGAACTTGAAATGAAAGAAAAGTTACTTGATGCTGGAGAAGTCCCAAGAGAAGAAGAAGATGGGTTGGTTGCCTGGTTTGCTCTAAGTATAGATCCCACTGCTGCTGAAGAATTTAAACAAAGACATGAAAATTGTTATTTTCTTCATCCTCCAATGCCAGCTCTTCTGCAGTTAAAAGAAAAAGAAGCTGGTAAGAAATGAACTCTGCTTATTTGTATTGGTAATAATCTGGTTTTTAGAATTGAGTTGGAGTTACATGTATCTGCAGTTTCCAAGAGGCACACTTTTCCAGTAAGCAGTGAAATTAGATTGTCTTCATTAGAAACTTCTTAAAGTTCTCACCCTAAGGGACTACTCTCTTGGGCAGTTACAGTAGTTTTAATCAGCCAAGATTGATTGCCTCAGAATTAACCCTAACGCATGAGGGTTTCATTTGATTCTTCAGTGAATAGTTTTTCCGCACCTGCTATACGCTGAACATGATGGCAAAGACCTTGACTGTTTTCTTTTCCATGGCTGGGGCTTTTTATGTTATGGTAAGAAATTAGGGTTTTATTCTAAATATCATTTAAATCTTGTAACCTTATGTGTTTTTAAAAACAAAAAAACACCTCACACTAGCTTCTCTGTAGAGCTTGAATTGTGGGTATGTTGTTAATTAAGTGTGGAAATTGGGAGTCTTGTTAGGAGGGGATTGGATATTATAATAGCCCAGGTAAGAGACTGCAGTGGCTTGAGTTAGAATGGTAGCAGTGGAGATGGAGAGGAAGGGAGAATTTGAGATATTCTGGAGACAGAACTGATAGAGCTTGATCTGTAGATTGAGACTACTATAATTGAGAGAGAGATGATGGTAACATGGATTAAGACATAAATTAAGGTGCTAATAGTAGAAATGGAGAAAAGGGGATACATCCAAGATATATTTTGGAGATAAAATCAGCAGTCTTTGCTGATGGATTGGGTATAGGGTATAATGAAGGAAAATATCAAGAATGACAGCTAGTTTTCAGATTTCAGTAATTTGGTAGATAGTGATACCATTTCTTGGTAATATAGAGTGATGGGTAGAGCAAGAAAAGCAGGACAAACTTGGAGTAAATAAATCAATAGTTTACTCTTGGGCATATTAAGTTTAGAAAGGATATTAGAGTCTAAAACTCAGAGGGGAGGTCTGAACTGGAGATATCCATATGGCAGTCATCAACACAAAGGTATTTAAATCCCAAGGAACTACTGGTTGAAAGCAATCAAGAAAAGGAACCTCAGAATCAGACCTGAATCCTCCTAAATTCTGATGTCAGGTATAAGCAAAAGAAGAACCATCAAAGGAGATGGAGATGGTGTGACCATGAGATAGGGGGAAGCCAAGAGAATATGCTCACAGAAACCAAGAGAGCAGGGTATTTCAAGGAGGGAGCGATCAAGTGTGTTGAATGCTGATATGAATGAATCTAAGTAAGAAAAAAAAAAAAGATTTTTTTTTTTTAAAGAATCTTTTTTGGCTTTGCTAATATGAAGCTGTGGATGAATTTGACAAGAGGAATATCAGTGGAGTGGAAAGAACAGAAGCCAGTATATGGTAGATAGAAGAGTTAATGGAAGGTTAGGAAAAAGTCACTTGTCAATGTCCACCTTCCCTTAGGTGATTTGGTAGGCCCTTCTAGAAACTGCTTAAATATTTCCTCCCCAAAGGAAATATTCTCCACACCTGTGGAGAAATCATCAAACTTTTTAAAGAAAGCATATTTTCTTTGGAATTGTATATAATTTTAAGATTAAAAGGATCATATAAATGAGCTAGTTGCTTTCTTTTCATTTTTCTTTTAGTAAGGAAACCAGGGCCCTTCAACTTACTTGCACAACCTTACACAGTTATTTAACTTCACTGTGCCTCAGTTTCCACCTCCAGAAAATAAAGATAATAGTACCTGTCTTCCTTTTAGGGTTGTTCTACATTAAATATTATAGTCTATATAAAGTTCTTTGCGTGATGCCTGGCACACTATAAGTACTCAATAAATGTTACCTTTTCTTACTGTATGATCCTGAAATAATGTGAACACTCGTGTAAGTTACATATTACAAGGTAATATAGCAGGCAAATATGTTGCCTATGGTTCATTGAGTTTCAGTATTACAGTTGTTTTTATTTATGTTTTGTTTATTCGTTTTTACCACTTTAAACATTGTTATAATTGTCTATTATTATTTATTTCAAAAATTCATAAACCAAATAATGTATTCTAGGGAGAGAAAGTTTCTCAAGCATTTGAAATGTAGCATTTGTAGTCGTATTGCCTTAATTGTAATATTTTTGGTCAGGCCATATTAATTCTTTTTTTTAAGGACCAGGGTAAAGGATATAGCCAAAGTGTATATATGTTAGGATTTATTCTGTTAGACAATCTTTTGGTAAACAAAGTTAAGCATGAATGTTATGTAATATGTTTTGTACTATATGCAGTCTCTAGTTGAAAACAGTATGTATTCCACAATGGCATTGATTAGCAGGGGCTCAGTCACCAAGAAGGAGAGTAGAGATAGCTTCCTACAGTTTCCTAGCAAAATTTCTGTTAGAGTACAAGTCTAAGTTAGGAATTGCCTTTGTAGTATATTTTTATAAAATAACAATTGTAAAGTCACTATTTGTAAATTCACTATACACTAGAATCATGTATACCCAAAGATTAAAAACCACCTATTTATAGTAAAAGCCTGATTTAATACAATGTGTAAGACGAATGTTAGCACATCTAACATATAGGAGTTATATTTTATTCAAATTAAAGTTAAAGCTAATTTTGATTTGTCATATGGAAAATTAAATCTTTTACTCTAAAAGAAAAATGCACATCATAAAAATAGAAATACTAAATCCCTTGATCATATAACTATTCAGAAAACAGTGTATGTCTTTATTATAGTTCGAGAACTTTTTACCTAAATGCATGTATATATAGACATGTATGTATATTTTTTTATAATTTACCACAGAATTATAACTTTTTGTGCTTCTTTTAAAGGAGTTGTAGCTCAAGCTAGATCTGTTCTTGCCTGGCACAATCGATACAAGTTTTGTCCAACCTGTGGAAGTGCAACTAAAATTGAAGAAGGTGGCTATAAAAGAGTATGTTTAAAAGAAGACTGTCCTAGTCTTCACGGTGTTCATAATACATCATATCCAAGAGTTGGTAAGCCTTTTCTTTTACAGTGAAATCTTAGCCACCTGGAATCTTGGGGAATAAAACATCCTGGAAAGACAAGTTTTTCAGGAAAAGCATGTTTAATTTAAATGTTAAGACTGTAAGTGTTAAAGTATTACATACTTTCACGGTTTTTAAGCAAAAGACATTGTACATCATTAACTATTTCTTAACTTTGAATATTAATCAATATGAATTTGATATGTTAAAATACTTGACTTCAAAAGGCTACCAATTTGACTCCACTTAATGGAGAGGTTAAAAAAAAGCCACAACAATTTTGTACCTGTTTGAGGCATTACCAAAGCAATATAGCCTGAAGCTAACTTTTCCATTACTCTTAGTGTCTGCCTATACCTTCTTTTCTAATTGCTGCCTTGTGTCTGCTGTAGTAGGCTTGGAAATCTGATAATCAAGCCCTTTAAAACTGTACGAAAGAAGAGTAGATAGATTCGGCAACACCTGAGAAGGTCTCTGGGGAGTAAAATGCCTGGCTTAGTGACATCTGGTTGAGTTGCTCAAGAGCCTTTTATATTTAATTCCTAGTTCTCAGTCGTGATCTAGTGAGAAGAATTTGCTGGATTTGTTACTTCCAGAGAGATGAACTGTTGTTTAAGTCTTTTTTTAATGACTTAAACCTAATCATAGAGCCACATTAGCTTTTAAAGACATTTTGTTAAGGATTAGGATGGAAGGGAGAGGGAAATTTATTGTATTTATGGTAAAATTTGAATTTTCCTCGTATCTATGTATTACCTACTCAAAACATTTTTCTCTTTAAAAATAAGAATATGCCTCACATACCATAAGTACACAATAAATGTTGCTGTTAACATTGGGAGAAGAAGGACAAAAATGGTCTTCCTCTAATTTATTGGCACTATTCTATGCAATTTCCCTGAGATATTCTGTCATCAGCTACATCAGGGCAGAAGGAAGCAATGTCTTAGAACCAGACAAGAGTCTTGTTTTTACAGGACATACACCTTTATATAATTTAACCAGGTAATGACTTTGCACAATGAGTCTAAATTATTTTTTTCTGTTATCATATATCTGATTTTTTTAACAGATCCAGTAGTAATCATGCAAGTTATTCATCCAGATGGGACCAAATGTCTTTTAGGCAGGCAGAAAAGATTTCCCCCAGGCATGTTTACTTGCCTTGCTGGATTTATTGAACCTGGTAAGCCTTTTCTTAATAATTTTTAT